ATTTCTGGAAAATACTACTTCATTGTCAGTCTTCACAAATTCTAACAAAGTTTCTTTTAATTTAACCACTTTCGCTGCCTTTCAAATCCACAAGGGCCAGCCATTAACCATTAGAGAGATTTCCACAACTTTGCTACATCAATTTCAAAAGCGGTTTAAAGATTGCAGGCTAATTCTTTTAACTCCTGTTTTCAAAGCGGTCCTTTGAGATCTGCAGGATTAATGCACGACAACAAAATAATCTTTGGATTATTCTTTATTTTTCAAAGATGATTTTCTACACTGCATATTTATGCTTCTTCCTCCAGTTAGCAAATACTCTCCAGCTGTAATGTCCAGTCTTGGTCCTAGCTGTGTTTGTTGCAGACAGTGTGTCTGCTCTCTCTGCTGGCCGCAGGTGATAATGCAAGTGGAATACTCTCCTCCTACCTGGTGGGCTCTGCATTCATTATATTAAAAAAAGCCCCTAAGGAAGTAATTTTTTTAAATGGTCATTAAAAAATAATAATTCAAAGAATATGACATCTTGTAATTTTCAGCTTTTTAAACGGGACATTTCTCGTGTAATCTAAAAAGCCAAATAGTTTGCTATGTGAGTACTGATCAGGGCATATGGTTTTAGTACCCCTCCCTATCACTAGAAAAAAAGCAATACATTAGAAATTTGTCAACATTTGTGGGTTGAAGAATTCTGTTGGTGCAGAATTTATTTACCCTGACACAGGATCATACATATCGAAGTACAATTTTCATTATTTTCAATTTAAAAATTTAGGGGTTTTTTTAATTTCAAGTGAGCCAAGGCCAAGAGCATAGAATCACAGGATTGTAGAGTTGGAAGGGACCCTGAGGATCATCTAGTCCAACCCCCCTGTGATGCAGGTGCCCCATTCAAGGATTGTGCCTGCAACCTTGGTGTGATCAGCACCACCCTCTAACCAATCAAACTAAAATATACTCAGAGTCGAGAGTGGATTTCATGCTCTTTATTCAGCTCATAGTGGTGAGGAGGAATGAAAGTCCCCCCAAAGTATCTGGTTTATATACATTATTTACACAATGGGCTGCACGTGATTGGCTAATTCCGGAATTCTCCTGTAGGCCAATCAGGTTGTGGATTCACTTCTATCTGGAGCTGGATTGGGTGGCTCCTGCCGACCAATCATACTGCTGCATTGTTCTAGGACCAATCAGACTGCTGCATTCTGAATCCTATTGTTCTAGGACCAATCAGACTGCTGCATTTTGGATCCTATTGTTCTAGGACCAATCAGACTGCTGCATTTTGGATCCTATTCAACTCAGTACATAACACAAACTATCCATTCTGTGATGCAGATCTAACTTTTGGCCAGTCCAAGAGCCAGGGATGGGGAATCTCTAGCCCACAAGCCAACCCTGACCCTGCCAGACCTCCCCACTTGGCAGCCATTCCTGCCCGCCCTACATGTGAAGTCAAACTGGAGTTTCAAAGAGCAGCACAGGATGGTTTGAAAGCTCTTTTACAAGCGGCCCCACCCTGCTTTTTCAGTCGCTGGATTTTAGAGGCTTAAAAATGGGGTTTTCAAACAGCCCATACCACACGTTCAAATCCACACAATCAAAGTGTGGCATCACCTGACAGCACAGTAATGTCAGCTAATAGGCAGGTCGGTGGTCCAACTCACCTGTCAAATTTGGCCTGCGGGGGTGGGAGATCGGGATCCGCCCCACTTGGGCCAGAAAAAGTTCCCTATGCCATCCCTAAGAGTTTGGGCATGGCCAGTGCAGTGCCATTTTTAAAAAAAAATAAAAAAGAAGCCTTTTTTCTCATTTAACAGGACGTCTCTGTGCTGTCAGGCTTTTGGTACTGATTTGTCCTGCCCTCTGAGCTGGGCTTACGAAGGAGGAATTCCTATTGTGCTTGGTGGGACTTTGTTCTGCTTGTCTGCTGTTCAAATCAAATCTTCACTTAGCCAAGGGCCATCCTCAAACCTACAACAGTACAGTAAAAACAAAAACAAAAGGTACAAGCTCAAAAATTATAACAGATATAACAGATCTGTGATGCAATATTCATTGCATCCACTGCCATTTGCGACAATAATAATAAAAGCACTGATTCGCAACAGGGAAAAAAAATCCCAATTATTTAACATTCAACCCAGCACTGTAACAAGAGTTGTCAACCTCTTAGTATCGGACAGTCTTCATCCATTCATTATTTTGAATTATGCTTGCAGTTAGGCCTATGGGATTTGGCCCATTCCTGTTTAATAGACTATATCAGAAGTAGAAAATGAGCAATTTATAGTTAAAAAATAGGAGCCTAAAGACAGGTGCATCCTTAGGAAGGTGGAGTGCCTGGCAGTTAATCGCACTGTGTGACTGTCATCTTCATCTCTCTCTTGTCCTTCTTCTTCATGGGACCTCCAGGAATAGGACTGTATAATAATAATAATAATAATAATAATAATAATAATAATAATAATAGTGGCTACAGACCTTTCTCCTGCTCCCTGGCTTACTTTTCGGTGGCAAGCCTTGCTAGGGAGGTGGGTCTGTTGGTTGTTATTGTCAGGAGTTCAGCCTACACTCCAGTAGGACCCTGGCAGAGACACATGCCCGACTAGCAAGTTCCCTCCCTCCTGGTCGATCGTTCCAGAGCTTCAAAAGCTTTCTTCCGCCCTAGCATCACAGCAACCGATGCCAACAGACATCGGCACACTTAGGAATCCGCAGAGTCTACGCATTTCGCGTGACAGACCTCGGCAACTCAGCATTTTGGCTAAGCTACTTTATTTACATATAAACATATAAACACACACGGAGCACTGCAACATGGCTCCCTCTCTCTCTAGCATCAGACAGCAAAGAGAAAAAGAAACAAAGGACAATAGTCCCACTTCATGGAACACAGTAACACAAACATCCTTTCTCCGTCATTTCCCACTCTGTGGAGTCAAAACATATACCGTCATGTGATAGACAACAATCCTATGACTGCAATCACGGAGCAGGAATTCTAACAGTTATTGCCACTGCCTGGCACAGAAAGACCCAACCCCCCAGGGGTGCCAACTTGGATAAAACATTGGGGAGCATATAAGCGCTGCCTCACATTATCAATCACATGACACGGCACCCCCCCCCCATTTGAATGGCAATGCCCATTAACTTTGGGGAGGCAGCCCCCTCAAATATTTTATTGGAGGCCCAAGGGACCTTGGCCCCTAGGAGTTGGCTCCTATGCCCCCCTCCAACACAGGACCCCAAGCCCCAAACCCATCCCTCACCCAATCCTTTTTGTCTATATACAATTGGTATTGTTGATCTCCTACTGTGTTTGAAAAACCTATATTATGAGCCTCTGAAGTCCATCCTTCCTTAACGCATGATGCAACACAATCTGCGACGATGCCCAGCAGATGCATATAACTGCCGTGAGAATCAGAAGATTATGTGTGATGCCTTTAGACAAAAAAAGTTGTTTTGGACCACAGCATCTCGCATTTCGAAACAGTGGCAAAGGCAAATATCGTTACAAGCAAAATATTGGAAGGGAAGTAAAATATTGGAAGGCGAGTAAAAATTCCATCCACTGGGGAATGGTATGGTAAAAGTTTGGTTTGTGGTGGGGATGAATACAATTTCCATTATGGTTGATTTGTGTAAGCAATTTAAATGAACTTTATCCATCTGTTAAAGAGTGAGAACCGTTTAAAGGATACTGTCAGTCTAGATTCCCCTATGACAATGATAAATGAACAAGGCTTGATGTTGTTATAAGTTTATCTGCCTCCCAAGGACAATTTATAAACAGAATTAGAAGTTGTCAGTAGTCAAACAGAACTTGTTTAGATTGGTTTGCTGCTTGTGTATGTGTACATGCTCATAACTAATAATAATAATAATAATAATAATAATAATAATAATAATAATAATTTTATACCCTGTCCATCTGGCTGGGTTTCCCTAGACACTCTTAAAAATGTCATTCTACATAAACTTTCAAAATATAGTTAAGAAAAATGTTGAAAACTCTCCCAACTTGCGTTTAAAAAAGTACAACTTTTACGAAAAATAAAACACAAAGAGTTGGAACCAGGTTTAGTCCCACTCTGAGTATGCGCCTTGAAAACACCTTGGTTTAATTTGGTTTACTCTGAATACGATTAAATATGGATCCAAAACAAATAGGGTGTTGTTGTTTTTTAACGGCTTTCGAACATTCCCACAGCTTCTAAAGCTGCTACAGCAAAGTGGGAGAGGAGGACTGCTGATTTAGAAACAAGAACCCCAAGACCCCTTGGCCCTATAGATCTAGTTGCAACATTTTTTTATTTTATTTAAACCTGAAGTGAATTGTACACTTGAGAACTAATGCCCCAGATCCACACCCTATTTTCAAAGCACATCCAGCACACATTCCTCAAGGAATTTTCTGGGAAATGTAGTTTGTTAAGGGTGCAGGGAATGATTACAATGTGAAGGGGGAATTACAATTCCCAGAATTCTTTAGGGAACATTATGTGCTTTACTTGTATGTTGGATATGCTTTACATGTACGACGTGGATCTGCCAATCTCTGCAGGACCAAGGAGAGGAAAGGCAGTAAAACCGAAACAGAGAGGGTGGTGAATACACCACAGATACCTGTTCCACTGCAGATATGTGTAAAGGAAGCTTTCTTTCTACGCATTTAGGATTGATCGCTTTCCTTGCAAGAAGCCTGCCCCAATCATTTTTTTAAAATTTCCTTTTTAATCCTATATTTGGAAAAAGTCAAATTTCAAATTCTTAAGAATCCATGGTTAAGAGCACCTGGGTCAATAGGTAGAAAATATATGTTGATAAGCAGTTGTAAAACAGCTCAGTCCTGGGCATGTTTTCTCAAATACAATTTCCACTGAAATCAAGAGTGGGTTTTTTTTACCCACAATGTATTTGTATAGAATCACAGCCCACATGAGCACAGTGTCTTTGTGGCAATTTTTGGATTCTGTTTTATTAGAAAAGTGACACAGCTCAGCGTGGGAGGTCTCCCAAAAAGAAGTTCGAGTTTCTTTGCTGGGGCTCACCACTTTTGACAGTCATTAAATTTCCCAGGCTTGCTGGCTAACATCTAAACAATGACCGTCCAACATCCTCGCAGCTGAAATCTGCAAGTAATTTCGACAACAGACTCAGTGGCAGATGAAGTTAACACAGGTATGAAGATATAATTGCTTGAGTCAGAGAGGAATTGAAACCCCAAGACAAATGGCATCTCCATTCTCTCACTCACTATTCAAATACATTATCTGAGGCCACACACTGGCTTCCAGAAATAGCACTGCAAAATATAGAAATACATTGCGTTAGTTTGCGATGCACCAAGAAAGAAAGGTGATTGCCCGAAACAAATGATTATATGACAATTTCCCCTCATTTCACCTCTCCTTTTGAGATGATCCTTTGTTTTCATGTGAGACTGTCATTTCTGTTGACTGCATTATGGATACGGCTCAAAATTCCATTGCATGGATGCGTTTTGAAATGGTTGTCTAATCACCTATGTTTATCTAAATATTGTAGCAATATTTTGAACCAACTGCAGTTTCTGGATCATCTTGAGAAGCAATGTTGTGAAGAGGCAGGTTCCCACACTTATTTGGCCTACCCCACCCCTTTTTCAGAAAATCTACCTTCTTTAAGCAAACAAAGAAAGATGCAGTGGCAAATTTGCGTTCTTTCATGTATCTATATTTCTACTGACGTCCTCCAACATAGCAAAGGAAGATGATGTTGTAAATAAGACACCTTGAAGCTGGAAATTATACAATTACTTCTTAAAATCAGCCGTGGTAACATTTGCATTACACACAGAAAATTAGGATAACGAAGGAAAATATTAAAATAAAAATCATGAACAACATCAAAAAATAATCCCAATGAGAAGGATGAGCCTGGTGCACTGCTATCAATTTATCAATGTTTGTCAGCAGCATTCTTAAATCAGCATGGTTAGCTATCTGCAGTCGGTTTCTTTTTTTAGTTAACAGATCTGTGACCGCACTGAACTCACAATCCACTAAATACGATGAAGGAAATGCAATTAAAAACTTTTGTATTATAACCCGTAATCCAGGATAAAGTGCAGGTATCTGCTATTTCAGCCAGAACTCATTTGTTCTTACTTCTATCAGTTCTTCTTGTAAATTTTGAGATTCTTCTGTGTTCATACTTGAAAAAGGGTGCAAAACCAGATCGGGGATGTTCATTTTAAGCATATCTTCAAATCATTGGCAGAAATCAGAATGGAGAGCCTTCAAGTGCTGACAACAGGCAAGCAAGTCTTCATCGTATTTGCCATCTTGTTTGGTAAATGCAGCTATTTATTGGGGAGGTTGAATGTAAAGCTTCAGGTGATGCCCTGAAATGGCTACACTTGCATTTTTCTGTAGCTCCTGCTAGTGAAGTGACACACTAGAATAAGAAGACGATACAAAATACCAAAATGTGCAAAACCCAAAACCTTCCTTTCTGAAGAGTGGCTTGTATTCTCCAAAATCTAGTAAGGAGCATCTCCACCCCCACCGTTCAGCCCGGACACTGAGAAGCAGCTATGAGGGCCTTCTGGTGGTTCCCTCATTGCGAAAAGTGAGGTTACAGGGAACCAGACGGAGGGCCTTCTCGGTAGTGGCACCCTCCCAGCAGATGTCAAACAGATAAACAGCTATGTGATTTTTAAAAGACACCTGAAGGCTGCTTTGTTCAGGGAAGTTTTAAGTGTTTGAAGTCGTGGTTTTTTTACTTATTTTACTTAATTGTGTTTTTACTTATTTTTTTGTTGGGAGCCGCCCAGAATGACTGGGGCAATCCAGTCAGATGGGTGGCATATAAACAAACTATTATTATTATTATTATTATTGAAAATGGGGAAGAAGTGTCGTCTGATATGTTCACCCACAACTTAACAACTTTTATGTTGGCTGAGTTTCATGATCAGAATACAGTTGCACCTTGGTTGTTGAACGCCCTGGAACTCGTACATTTTGGCCCCCAAATGCCGCAAACCTGGAAGTGATTGTTCCAGTTTGCAAACATTATTTTGGAATCCGAACGTCCAACGGGGCTTCCACAGCTTCTGATTGGCTGCAGATGCTTCCTGCAGCCAATCAGAAGCTGCGATTTGGTTTTCGAACGTTTTGGAAACGGGTTCCATTCGACTTCCAAGGTACGATTGTAACTGGAACTGATGAACTAACATTTGTTAGTCCACGGACTGTTTTTTCTTCTTCTTTTAATTTACATTTATATCCCTCCTTTTCCTGTTTTTAATACTGTGTAATATTGTATTTTAATATTAACGTCGTAAGCTAGCCTGGGACTTTATGGTGAAGGGCAGGCAATAAATTGCTGAAATATCCCCTCCCTTGTTAAGAAATTCAAAAACTACCTGGACTATGTGAAATCAGCAAAGCTAACAGCTAAAATACGGGAACCTAACAATGGTTATTTTGTGGAAGAATGGGAGCCTTTTTCAGACTCTTAACGGAAATATTATAGTATGATGAATTCGCGGGCAGGACTTGAACTAGGAGCAGCAGAAGGAATTGAGGATTATTGTATTATTGCGATGAAGTAAGAGAGGGAAGACAGGATGCAGCAAGGGGGAGAAATAAAAAACACCAAGGGAAATTGACCGACCAAACAAAAGAAAAATCTGCAATTTATTGGAATGTATATACAATTTTTTGGGGGGGAAATTTAATAAAATATAACTGGGATGGGGGGAATCTAAAACTACCATCCTATCCATGCTTACTTGGGAGTAAGCTGCACTGCATTTAGCGGGAGTTGCCTCCAGCTAAGGATGGAAAACCATAGAATCTGGAAGTTGGAAGGGACATCTGAAGGCAGCCCTGTTTAGGGAAGCTTTTAATGTTTGATGTTTTATCTTGTTTTTAATATTCTGTTGGGAGCTGCCCAGAATAGATGGGGAAACCCAGCCAGATGGGCGGGATATAAATTATTATTATTATTATTATTAGGGTCATCTAGTCTGACCCCTTGCAATGCAGGAATCCTAAGATTGCTTGGTCAGCTAAAATCCCTTTGCTGCTGTTCCAATAAGTCATACCTTCCTTTTTAAGCAGGCCTTTGCTTGATTTTATTGCCATCCTATGCCCTTTCAAAATGTGTGTTGTTTTATGGGAAATTGTTGTTTTAATTTTGATTATCGATCTTGTGGTTTTATATTTTGATTTTATTCTGTAAACCGCCCTGAGACCTGTGGGTATAGGGTGGCATATAAATTTAATATTATTATTAATAATAATATATTACTAATATAATTGATAGCATATATATAATATATTATATACAATATTAATATAATATAATGTATATTAATAATATGATTAAAATTATTCACGCGGCTAATAGGAGCTTGCCTTTCGTATAATAATAATAATAATAATACCAAAGGCAAGCTCTCATTCGCAACGCGAGTAAAGCCCAGCGTCCGCGTCCCTGCGTCACAACAGCAGCAGCGGTGCATCGTGGGATACGTAGTCCCGGCGTACTCCCGGCCTCCCCTCCCCGAGACTACATCGCCCAGGAAGCACAGCGCCGGAGAGCCGCGCGAGCCTTGCGTCAGCGGCGCCGGCAGCCAATCGCGGCTAGGCCGACGCGAGCGCCGCCCGCCGCCAATGTTGTTTTCGCTGAGTCGAGCGGCTGGTGTTGTTGGCGGTGCCGGCGCCATATTGGAAGGGACGAGGCGGCGTTTTTTTTTTGGCCCCCCCTCAGCCCCCCCGCCCGCTGCCTCAGGAATAACGGAGCCCCCCTCAGAGCGGGCCTCGCTGCCGACGCCGCCATGCTGTACCTAGAGGACTATCTGGAAAGTGAGTCTCCGCGGTGCGCGCGTGTGTGTGTAGAGGGAGGGGGGGCGCCAGGCCCGAGGGGAGGGGGGAGGGAGGGAGGACGGAGCGCGAGGCGGAGGCTCCGCCCACCGCTCCTCCCGCCCTCCGTGTCAGCTAACTCGCTCCTTCTCTCCGCCCCCCTCCCCGCCAGTGATCGAACAACTTCCCATGGACCTCCGCGACAGGTTCACCGAAATGCGCGAGATGGACCTGCAGGTGCAGAGTACGTGAGTCAGCCCCGCCCCCTTCGCGCGCCACGCAGAGGGAGGAGGTGGAGCCGCCGGGTGTGAGCGACGCGCCAGCCGCCGAATAGGAAGTCGGCGAGCTCCCAAGAACCCGCCCGCCGTGCAATGGCATTGGGGTTTTCTTCCTATCGATACTGCACAGCGGAAATCAGCTGGGCTTTATTCCAAGGGATGGGGGGTGAAAGGTTTATGGGGGGGGGGGGAGGAAGAGACTTACCCTGCTGAAGACTCCAGGATTTATAGACGGAATAATTTCCATTTCGTGGAATGATTTTTAGATTCTACCCGACCGAACCCACGTATTCTGTGTCCTGATCGTGGGACTTTGGGGTGGAGGGACTGTTATTATAAAGAGCCTCACAGGGCAGTGTAGGAAGGAGAGGGTAATGGTCGCATGCCTCAGTATGTGGCACTAAACCACCGAGCCTCTTGGGCTTGCCGATCAGAAAATCGGCGGTTCGAATCCCCATTACGGAGTGAGCTCCCGTTGCTCTGTCCCAGCTCCTGCCAACCTAGCAGTTCGAAAGCACACCAGTGCAAGTAGATAAATAGGTACCGCTGCAGTGGGAAGGTAAATGGCGTTTCCATGTGCTCTGGTTTCTGTCACAGTGTTCCGTTGTGCCACTAGCGGTTTAGTCATGCTGGCCAGATGACCCGGAAAGCTGTGTCTGGACAAATTCTGGCTCCCTTGGCCTGAAGCAAGATGACCACCACACCACTTAGTCGCCTATGGGGTGCTTTACCTTTTTTTTAACCTTTTACTTTCAAAACCTTAAAAGGGATCCATGAATTAGATCTCTTGTCAGATGCTTACGTACACATGTAGTTTTCACATAAGCTGCCTTTTACTTACTTCTGCTATACGGTTGCAAACCATTGTATAATTATACAAAACGAATGTACATTCATGTTCTGTGTGTTTTAAGATGCAATGGATCAACTGGAACAAAGAGTAAATGAATTTTTTATGAATGCAAAGAAAAACAAGCCAGAATGGAGAGAAGAACAAATGACATCAATTAAAAAGGTAGGAGTAAGGTAATATCTGGCCAAAAGAAATAAAACAAAACACCCCAAACTAGGCTATTCAATCAGTTCTGATGCTACTACAAGTCTCACACAAAAAAATCTACTCGGAGATTTTAAAAAGCTATGAATTCATAGAAGATCGTGGCTCCCGTTCTGTAAAAATGGAAAACACAACTTGCAGTTTTTCTTCAGAGCCGATTTCTTGCTTTGCTTGGAAATGGACAAGTGACTTGTACATAGTCCTAAAGAAATAAATGCAATCAGGTTTAAAATCATGTTGGTTGTACTGTATATTTGAAATATTAGTATCAAGAGCCTTTAGTATCAAGTTAGCATCAAGTATCAAGACACCACAAGAAGTAGCTGCAAAGAAATACAGTGGTACCTCGGGTTAAGTACTTAATTCGTTCCGGAGGTTTGTTCTTAACCTGAAACTGTTCTTAACCTGAAGCACCACTTTAGCTAATGGGGCCTCCTGCTGCCACTGCGTCGCCGGAACACGATTTCTGTCCTCATCCTGAAGCAAAGTTCTTAACCTGAAGCATTATTTCTGGGTTAGCGGAGTCTGTAACCTTAAGCGTATGTAACCTGAGGTACCACTGTACTTGACTGGATTTCCAGCAGTATGAATCATGGCCTTGGAAATCAGATTTGAAATGCAAAAAGTCCCAAGTATGAGCAACATCCTTCTGTCTGATAGGAAGTAAGCTTTATACCAAGTCAGACCATTGATCTATCTAGCTCAGTATTGTCTGCACTGACTGGTAGCAGCAGCTCTACAGGATTTCAGGCAGGAGAGATTCTCAGCCTTACCTGGAGATGCCAGGGATAGAACCTGTGACCTGCATGGAAAGCAGAAGCTCTAACAACTGAGCTATGGCCCTTCCTCTAAATGTCTCAGTCTTCAAGGACAATAAGCCTTGAGCTGTCTCACCTCCCCACCCCACCCCACCCCCACAAGAAAAGCCCTCTGGTCCGCAGGTATGGCTATTATTTTTGATATGCATAAAATATTTTTAAACTTCCATTCTGATGTTTTGTTATTCTGGGGAAATATTGGTATTGTACTGTATATTGAATTTTTCTCCCATGTTTTAAAATAGGGGAATGTGGTGAGTTAAAGAATAATATTAAACCATAAAATTAAATAATGTTCTCAACTGTCATTTTGATAACTCAGTATTCAGTGACATTGTTAAATCATAAACATACAAATGTTTGACCAAATGGCCAAAACAGTCTCCTGCATTTCATTTATCCATCTATCTTGAAACTGATTTTTCAAGAACTTGTGAACTTTGTTTATCTTCAGAGTTCTTTATTTTCATATATTAATGGTCATCCAGGTTCATTATAATTTTGTAGTACTAAAAATGATTTCTTACAGTATTTTACTTTTATTTTCCCCCCAAACAGGATTACTATAAAGCCCTAGAAGACGCAGATGAAAAAGTACAGCTGGCCAATCAGATTTATGACTTAGTAAGTAAAATAATGAACTTGGCTACTGGACTATTAATTTGCAGACTTTTAAAACGTTAACACTCATTCTTCTTAACACTTCTTATAACATTTTTGCATGTATGAGCATTTATAACTCTGCAACACTTTTTAAATGTGTCTGGCGGGGTTATTGGGTTGTTTTTATTTTGATTGTGTATTTTGTGTATTTATGTTGTGATTATATCCTGTGTACTGCCCTGAGACCTGCGGGTATGGGGCGGTATACAAATTTAATAAATAATAATAATAATAATAATAATAATAATAAATAATACAGTCTTACCTTGGATCCCAAACACTTTGTGAGTCTTAACGTTTTGGCTCCTGAACGTCGCAAACCCAGGAGTGTTCCTGTTTGCAAATGTTCTTTGGAACCTGGATGTCTGACGCAGCTTCTGCAGCTTCCGATTGGCTGCGGGAGCTTCCTGCAGCCAATCGGAAGCTGCGGCTTGGTTTTGGAACGTTTTGGAAGTTGAATGGACTTCTGGAACTGATTCCATTTGACTTCCAAGGTACCACTGTAATGCATTTTTCTGCTTATAGCTTTTTAAAAAAACTTTGGGCTAACTGGCTTGTATGTACACTTAAACGTTTTAAGGGCTGAAATAATAAAAATTATTACATGCAAAAGCAGTTTCATATACGTATCCATGAAGGCATTTGCAGAGCAATCCTAAGTGGAGCTGGGAAGGAGTGGAATGGCAGATGCACCAGTACATATCATGACATCTCATGCTAGCCAGGGCAGGATGTGGTTGGAGATTGGTCTTCTTTTTCTCTATACCAGCTCCAGGCTGAAATAGCTGAGGGGCCTGATAGTTAGGTCCAGGGCATCTGCAAGATTTTGAAACCAGTAGCTCTAAAGCAGGGGCTGACAAGGTTTTACCTGCCTGGGCCAGTCAGGTCCGTGGAGATCCTGTGTGCAATTTCCGGTGTCTAGGCATGTGCAGACGCGATTTCCGGTGCCGCAGAAGCAAGTCCCTGCACTGCGCTGGTTTAGCGCAGCGGGCACTGACTCACCAAGCGGGCAGCGCGGTTTGGGTGCGGCTCATGGGCTGGTTAAACTGCCCCCGTGGGCCACTTGCAGCACAAGGGCCGCAGTTTGCCGACCCCTGCTCTAAAGCTACCAGTGCCCTGCCCCTAAGATGCCCCATTTTAGTACTTTCTGCTTGCTACCGCCAGCTGAAAAATTGCTGGTGGTAGTTTTCTGCTCCCTGGAATGCAGCTGGGGCCTTGGTTGTGGCACAGCCCCTCTAGCAATGCTCCTATCTACCAGCAGAGGCTGGCAGAGAGACACCTCCTCACTGTCCTAAACTCCGTCGTCCCCCGTCAGTGTTGTGGGATTAGGATTGCATTCTTAGTATTGTGACACAAGTGTTACTTTACCACCTGTCAGCTGGTGGCGGTAGAGCTCAAGCTTGCTTTCTGCAAACATCTGGTGCATGAGGAAGTTACACATGGGAAACTCCCTTGTGTATCCAGTCCAGAAGGCTTTGGGGTTTACCAATTTTCCTTTACCAGTGCACAGTTTAGAGTACACTAGAGTCTCCTGATTGTGCATTGGCAGCTGTGTGTGTGACAGGTGTGGGCATGGTTTGGGAGAAGTAGCCTTGCAGACCAAATGTGAGCCAAGTTTGGCCTGTGGGCTGGATGCTCCCCAGCACTGCCTTAGGCAATCTCAAAGCTTTGAGTGCAAAATAGTGGGATTTGTGAATCTGTAATTGGCAGTCTTTCATCTAATCTCTTTTAACAATTTCAAGAGGGGATGGTAGCTGTGGCTTGTGAAACCAGTTCAAAATTTTCTTGGGGTGTGGAACTACCGTATTTACACGAATCTGATGCACCATCGGATCTAATGCACACCTCAATTTTCAAAACCTTGAAACCAAAAAAGTATTTGCTGGAGAATGTAAATGTGGCACCAAATCTAATGCACACCCTAATTTTCGTGACGTTATTTGGCCAAAAAAGGTGAGCATTACATTTGAATAAATGCGGTAGGTGGAACCCTACTTGCGTAATTCCAGTCATATGTTGGAGTCATTTGGGTGCCACATGTACTAGAAGGTTTCTGTAGCACAATGCTCCGAAGGCTTTATACTATCTTACTTAATATTTTTTGTTAATAGGAAAAGGTGTTTGACATGTACATGATTGATTAAATATTCTCAGCAGTACAATCTTAATACACATTTACACAAAAGGAAAGCTTGTTGAATTAAATAGCTTACTGTTCAATAGTTTTTTTCAGTGTACAGTATACACTTAACTTTAGAGTAAGCCTCACTGAACTCAACAAGATTGATTTCTGATTAGGACTGTATAGGATTTCATTGTTAGAGGTTTTTTTCAGCTTAATGTTTTCATGTCCAGGGATCCTTTTATACAGATTCTCATTTGTGATTTTTTAAAAAATACAGTATTGGTGTTTGCCACAATTCATATTAACTTTTTGATTGTGTGAAGTAATAAACTGGATGAAAAATAGCCTGACGTATCAAAAAACATATGTTCTTAAATCAGGTAGACCGCCACTTGAGAAAATTGGACCAGGAATTAGCAAAATTTAAAATGGAACTTGAGGCGGATAACGCTGGGATTACAGAAATATTGGAAAGGCGTAAGTATGCCCGGTGGCCTTCTCCAGTCATTATAATTTTGCCAGCACATAACATCACACTCTGTTGCTGCTGTAGCAATAAAGGGTTTCCTTTTGTTTCTCATTTGTCAAAATGAATCATAACTAATAAAACTGGCTCAATTTTTTTTCTTGGGCCCCATCACAGTAGCATGAGCAAGAGGAGAATCTATTCTCCTTATGCTGCTTTTTAGTTTGTTTCCTGAACATTTCACAGGATACCCATTTGAAGCTTCATTGCAAGCCATCTTTAAAGTTTGCCTTATCTGTGTGCATCAAGAATTAAAACAGTCTTGGGTCCTGAAGAAAGTATTATCTGTTGCTTCTCTGTGCATTCATATTGGTAGGACAGAGTGTAAAAACCTCAGGCTTTGGAGCCACATGTGGCTCTCCCTCTTCCTCTGCACAGGTCACACCGCTCACCAGTCCTGCTCTGTGCTCTTCTTGAGTGTTTCTCCTGATGTGTTCTTGAACTGTGATCGTTCCCTTGCTTGCTTGGATTGAAAGAAGCATGTGTGACCTTTGTGTGGCTGGAATGTTGTATAGATGTAAAGCGTCACATCCGTTGCTCTGCCACTTTTGCCTCTGTCGCAGCCCACCAATGGAATGCAGCACCCTGAAGGAATGTGGATTTTGGACCTCAAAAGCCCCTGCGATAGGGTTGTTCTCTTCAGAACTCAAGAGGCTATTGGCTTGAATGTGGCAAATTAATGTGGCAAACCAGGCTAGAGAACAAAAACCTCTCTGATTAATTTCATAGCACTAGCTTCTTCTGATGAAAATGCAATGTGCAGTATTTTAAGGATGGTGTCAGATAACAAAACTTTCTAAGTTGTCATAACTATAATTCATTCTTGAATACTCTTTCCAATAGGTTCTTTGGAACTGGATACACCATCACAGCCACTGAACAATCACCACGCTCATTCACACACCCCAGTAGAAAGTAAGTTGAACGTTGCAACCTTTGCTTTTGTTTGGTGTGAAGAAGACCAGTACAACAGGCAGAAATTCAGCAGGTTGTGCTTTTCAAGTATAGAAATATAATATGGAGAAAGCTTTGCCATGACTGTGATCTCTCTCAAATTTTGTATTATGCCATGTGCACCCACAGCATTCTCACAAAGTTCAGCATGTGCTCACTGGTCCAAAAGGTTTGGTGACCCATATCTGTGGAAAAGAGCTCCTTGACTGAAATGTGATGGTGCTTTTCATGAGTGTGTGTGTGTGTGTGTGTGTTTTCCTTCTGTAGTGATAAGCCCTTTGCACAAAGCGTCAAGTTTGACTTTTGGATTAATAGAGTGTGTTTTGTTTGTTCGTATAGAACGGAAGCATAATCCCTCATCTCACCATGCAGCGGCAGATCATGTCCCTGAAAAGAAGTTTAAGTCTGAAGCTCTTCTGTCAACTCTCACTTCAGATGCCTCTAAAGAAAATACACCAGGTAATTACAATGTCAGGTGTAAGTGAAGTTTTAAGCATACAAATGGAGGGCATTCTCTTTCCTGACCTATTAATGGGATTGCACCCACAGGCTGTTTTTCAGAGAGGCAGGTACAATCTATTTTTAAAGAGGGCTGCTAAGACTCCTGTATGTGGATCCCTAATAAAATTGTTACTGGTGGAGGACAGAAGTAAGGCAAGGACAAGGAATTTATCCCTCCTTTAATCTTACCACCCATGCTTGCAACAGCAGCTTTGTAGTCTTTGTGATGGTGTTTCTTTGTTTTTGCAGGGTGGGCGGGGATCACTCACCTTTCCCCAACCTTGCATTGGGCTCAGAGGATGGAAGTGGCAAGATTCATTCAGTACCCAGTTGTAAATACTTCCTCCCTGTATCCTGCCCATCTCAGGAGTGGTGAGGGTGATAAATTTAGCTGAGAGAGTTTACTGTGGAGAAGAACTACTGTTGGAAGGTGGAGGGGGGTTGGAATTTGGACCCTGTGTTCCCACTCCTTTATCCACCTCTTCTCGGTTATTTATTATTATTATCATTCAGTACCTTCTCTCATTATATACTTTCCTCACCCATCCTTCCATTGCCTTTTTCCATCCTCTAGGCCACATTTAGCAGCTTCGCACACCTGTCAGCTTTGCCCACCAGGGTGGGGAAGATAAAGATCTGTCTCTTTTGCCATAAAAGGTTCCCCACCACTGGATTTTAAAAAACCCCAAAAACCAGAAGAGGCAACAATAGGACAGGGTGGAGTGGTGTGTTTTCAGCATTTAATGGGAACTGTATAACGAAGATACCAGATGCACCTTGTCAGGAGAAAGTTCCATAGAAGTTCCACTTCTGATCTTGTAACACCCAAGAAGTAGGGATGGAAGCAGTCATTCAGATATTTAGGGCCCAAGTTGGTTAAGGCTTTACACATTAGCCCTGGGGCAAGAGAGCAAACAAAGATAGGAACGTCTGAAGAGTAGAGCAGTGCCAAGTTGTTTTACAGAACATCATATCCTGTTAGTCCTTTTGTCCATTAACGAGGTGGCTGACTTTCACTGGTAGACACAGCTGGTTTTCAGCTTTCTGAAATTTAAATCTACTTTTAGTTTTCACTTTGGACTATATAAATATGTTCCCTTTGTTCATCAAGGGTGTCGAAACAGTAATTCATCATCCTCATCCAACAGTGCATATAATGCAAATTCTTCTCAGCCATTGGCATCGTATAACCTGGGCTCATTATCTTCAGGAGCTGGAGCTGGTGCTATTACCATGGCAGCAGCTCAGGCAGTGCAAGCCACAGCACAGGTAAGGAATTCAAAATACACTGTTTAAAGTACCTGCAGTCTGAGTTGGACAACTTTTATTTAGTTTAGATTGGCATCGGGACATAGTGCATTCTAAAAACTCTTCCCAGCATATTGAACTTGCACGTGTTTAATAAGGTTTGCAGTGTGATCCTGTGCGTACCTGTACAAAAGTATGCTGTGCTGAGTTCAGTAAGACTTACTCCAAGATAAATGGCTTTAGAATTGCAGCATTCAGCCTCAGTCCTGTGCACACTTACTTAAGCGTAAGTCACATTGAAATAGGATGCAAGACAATATCCAGCTTGGTTTCTTAGAGCATGTGGGTAATTACGATCAAGCCATAATTTTTTGTAAGTGTTGGAAATGTGAGTCTACTCTTTTTAATGCCATGCCACAGATAGTTCAAGCATGCTTTAAATGTTTACTAGCAATGACATAATATATTAATATGGCTACTTTTCTTTTAGATGAAGGAAGGAAGGAGAACGTCTAGCCTAAAAGCGAGTTATGAAGCCTTTAAGAACAATGACTTCCAACTTGGAAGAGAATTTTCATTATCCAGGGATACCGCTGGGTACTCATCATCCGCCTTGGCATCTACATTATCTCAGACTTTGAGTTCATCAACCACAGATTCACGGAGTGGTCGAAAAAGCAAGTAGGTTCATGAAAAATGGTTGCTTCCCTTCGGCTGGGCTCACTTAAGAATTTGGAGAAATTATTAATCTGTTATTAGTAGTGTTCACAGTTTTTAATAGAAACTCAGAATTTTGAACTGGTGATCTCATTTTGTTTCATTCCCTGATCCTTTGAGATGATTCAAACTCTACATTTTAAAAGCTTAAATGTATGCCCTCATGTTTTTATGCACAGATGTCATCATACATAAACAAAAGTCTAATTTTAACAGGTTCTTAGTAACGTAAGACCTGTACTAAGAATAGAAGTATACATAATTACCCAGGTGATAGTCTCTTCTATTTCCTTCCATATGTCAGTTGACCCAGCCGCTTCTTTCTCTCTTTGACTCTTACTGAAGGGTGCCTACTTGCTCTTGAACGCTAGAAGAAATGAATGCTAAATCAAAAATATATAAAAGTAGCCATCCACACATTGATTTATAGAACTTACAAACACAGGATAAAAGCTCCATAGAAAATCAACAAGGTCCAGAATAGTACTGAGGCCCCATTGTGGTTATGAAATGTGAATTTACCCTGTGTATAAACCATCAGTACTGTTGAAACAGTGAAAGGAAGAACATGATGAGCCAGTACAGAAAAAGCATGTCTACTCTTTAATTAAGCAAAATAATGTAATACTAAAGTTGTTGCTGTCTGTCAGGGCAGGAACACTTGCTTATACCATTTCTAATCTCAAAAATCCTCATTATATTTTGTCAATTTAAGGGTGTGGTGGTTGTTTTTTTAGAAAAGAAAATGTTTACATCAAATATAGATTATTGTCCAACAGCTTAGCTATGAACTTCTGCTGTAGTGTCAAATTACACACACAACTTGATGGAAAGTAAAGGGAGAACACACTGGGTATGTCTTTATTTTTCAGAAACAATAACAAATCTTCAAATCAACAATCGTCATCATCTTCCTCGTCTTCCTCCTTGTCATCTTGTTCCTCATCCTCGGCTCTAGCACAGGAACTGTCTCAACAAACAGCAGTAATACCAGAGTCCGAATCTAATAGCCAAGTTGATTGGACCTATGACCCAAATGAGCCACGTTACTGCATTTGTAATCAGGTATATTTTGTTAAAATATGATATTATGCAGAAAGTTATGGTAGAAAGTTTGTGTTTTTATAGGATAGTTTAGTTGGCTCGTTGATCTTGGTTCATTTACTGAGAATCGACCACATCTGGTAGCAGATACTAAGAGATAAACTATTCAACTTTCAATGGTTGCACTTTAAAGACAATATAGTGCTTTAAATTGCACGTTATAATGGCTGGTCTGTAAAGCTAGACAGTTGTGATCAAAATCTGTTGATATATGCAGAATGCTAAGTTTTGTTTTAAATCAAATTATTTTCACAATATTGTGGCTTCAGTTAAAATTGTGGAAAATGCATGGATACTGCTAAGATACCTTTCGGGCTTTAGATTGGAGTTCTCAGTACTGATTTCTGCCCTGTGTTTCTCTTTCTGTTACTCATGATTCCCAGCCACTTCCTTATAACTTGGTGCATCTACGGCTCTTGCATTATTTGTGTCCTCCTTCCCATTCCCCAGTACCTGCAAGTTTTTCATTTCAAAGTGTGCCATGCACAAAACACTGTGTAAATTTATATAACATTTCTGGACATGAAGCTTTGCTTTTGTCACTGCAGCATTTGTATAGCGAGGAAGCCTTGACATTTCCTTTCCAACATAATAACATCCTAAGATCAATATTTATGAGGAATGTTAAAGCATTTTCTCTGGAAGTGATAACATTTATAAAAAGGTTACAAAATCTTAGCAGTGTACAAATATCGAAAACAAAAGATAGGCCCAGCTTCAGACTTAAAATCCAGTGAGACAAGAAATGGGGGGAGGGGGTTTGACTGGGCGATATATCAATATATTGCCCAGGACCAGTATGTGGGGGGACACCACGATGACAGCTTCACTCAGCGGTATATCGCTGGTGAAACCGCCACCACTCTTGAGTCCCTCTGCCTCCAGCGTGCTGAAGGAGAAACACTAGCCAGGAGTGGCAGTGGTATGCCGCTGGTGAAACCGCCATCGCACTCCCCCCCAGCAGAGGGAGAATCAAGCTGAATTGGCGAGGTGCTGCTGATACAGCTTGCTCCTCCCTCTGCTTCTTTAAACCTCTTGGCCGCGGAACACGCTGCTGTCCTTCCCTTAGCAAAGCAGTTTTACAGAGTCCCCGACCCGCCACCAGCTCAGGGATGGGGGCTCCGTTAAAGTGCTCCTCCCAAGCTGAGAGAGCCCCAACCCTGCTCCTGCTTGCACTTGAGTAGGAACGGGATCGGGGCTGCCGCCTTGCTTGGCTACCGCTTCGCTGCCTTTGTCTGGGATGGTGTGCTGTGCCTTTCCTCCCAGAAAGGCAGCTGTAATAATAATAATAATAATAATAATAATAATTTATACCCCACCCATCTGGCTGGGTTTCCCCAGCCACTCTGGGCAGCTTCCAACAAAGACCAAAAATACACTAAAATGTCACACATTAAAAACTTCCCTGAACAGGGCTACTAGGCAATGTAGGGGCTCTTTGATGCCTAACAGGCTGCATGCCCTTCCCTATGGCTGCCTGGTCCGTCTTCGGGGAGTAGGGGGCGAGCAGGCAAAGTAGCTCACCCATCCCCTACGCCAGCGAAGGCGGACACAGGCTTGCCAAGGAGCCCCAAGCTCCTTGCTGCTCGAGAGCAAGTGGTAGGGACACCAGGTCTGGCTCCGCTGGGGGCAGGAGCTCTCCTGCCCCCAGCAGAGCCTGGCCAAGGAGCCCTGGGTCCCCTGCTGGGTGTGCAAGCGGCGGGGGACCCGGGGCTTGCTCAGCTGGGGGCAGGAGCCTTTCTGGCCCCCGGCTGAGGGCCAGCTGTATGGTGAGAGCTTGCAGCAGTTTTACCCAGCATCTCGCAGGCTGGGGGCCAATGCAGCCTTTTACAACAATCCTTTTTTTGGACAGTCTTAACGTTTTAAAAAGTCTAAACATAATGGAAGACATTTTAATGCTTTTAGAATAACTACTTAATTTGGGGGATAGTAATGCAGAACTGCTTCAGGTAATGACTCGAGTAATGGAGTCAGCTGTTTAAACTTTAGTATTACTGTTGCTTCATTATTCAGCCATTCTTTTATGTGCACTGAGCTCTTCAGCATTGATCTCTCCTGGTGACGTGCTTATAGGAAAAGGAAGAGTGTAGTAACTACCCCTTTCCCGAAAGTCAGGTTTACTCTGTAGTAATGTAGTCCAGCTTGGATCATCCTTTGGATTAGGTCACAGAAAGGTCCTCTGCTGAGAGCAAACTACCCTGAAATCAGGACTGTTTGTACATACAGTCATACCCTGGGTTCTGAACACTGCGGGTTGCGCGTTTTCAGGTTGCGGACTGCACCGAACCCAGAAGTACTGGAACGGGTTACTTCCAGGTTTCAGGTCATGCGCAGATGCACAAAATGATGTCATGCACAGAAGCGCCAAATCGCATCACGCGCGTGCGCAGACGCAGCGCTGCGGGTTGCGAACGTGCCTCCCGCACGGATCACATTCGCAACCTTAGGTATGGCTGTATACTGTTCAATGCTAATTTCACCTAAGGCAGGTGAGCACAGCCAGGCTTACAGATTAGGGTTTTTTAGATTTTCACCTGAAAACACACAATACAAATTTTCAGTTAAAATGAAAGGCAGATATTCTACATAGAATGTTCAAGCTGTGAAAATAATGGAAGCGACTTTACCTCCCTGTGCTTTAAAGTATTTTTTTTTATAAAGATCATGCTGCCCTAATCTTTTGTAAAATAATAATAATAATAATTTATCCAGGCATTTAAAGAAATGATTGCCAAAACAAGTGTAAAACTGATGGCTTACTTGCATTTGATCAACTAGAAAATCACACCCTTCTTGGATGTCTAAGGGAGTCTAAAATAATGCAAAAATGGAAAAGCGAATTCATAACATGAATGTTTCCAACATGTACAAGTTTGGCATATTATTCCATTTAGGGCCTTGCAACAATAACTCTGATGTGAAAAATAATCTGGTCATGGAATACATTAATGCTTTCTTAATTTGTTTCTCTCATAGGTGTCCTATGGTGAAATGGTGGGCTGTGATAACCAGGATGTAAGTATTAAAAAAGGGTACAGGAGCTATTACACACACCCCTCCCTCCCTTTCCCCCAGAAACTAGACTCAGCTATGCAGTTTTACATTTAAAAGCAGAATTTTGAGCCATCTTCCAAAGGAAGATTACACATGTTCATGAACCCCAAGGCATTACTCTTTCCCGCAGCAGTTATTCATGGTGTAGATGAGGATAGATAGTTGCTTTGAGTATGGGGACTGGTTTTAGACAGGGAACCACTAGTTTAGTACGTACGTCTGAAGCTAACCAAAAGAGGGCAGGTAGTTTTTGCTACCAGCCAGTGTGGTGTAGTGGTTAAGAGCGGTAGTCACGTAATCTGGGGAACCGGGTTCGCGTCTCCGCTCCTCCACATGCAGCTGCTGGGTGACCTTGGGCCAGTCACACTTCTCTGAAGTCTCTCAGCCCCACTCACTTCACAGAGTGTTTGTTGTGGGGGAGGAAGGGAAAGGAGAATGTTAGCCGCTTTGAGACTCCTTAAAGGGAGTGAAAGGCGGGATATCAAATCCAAACCCTTCTTCTCTTCTTCTTCTTCTGTACCTTTCCAAATATTCCCAAATAATAGGTATTAATTCTGTTTTCTTTCTGTACAACAAAGCAAATCTACCGATATCTGCCAAAAGACCCTGTTTGGTGTTTTGTCGTGTCCGCTTTTAGGAACCAATCGGTATGTCTTTCTGATTGCCTTACAGTGCCCTATCGAGTGGTTCCATTATGGCTGTGTCGGATTGACAGAAGCACCAAAGGGAAAATGGTACTGCCCACAGTGTACCGCTGCAATGAAGAGAAGAGGCAATAGGCATAAATAAATGTCCTGCTCGCTTCGCTTCAATTAAAAATACGTGCTATGCTGCGGGGAAAGGGGAGGGAAACGCTTCTTTGGAACCAGTCAAAAGGAGGATGGATTTAGCTGTCATAAAATGTCGACTTCTTAATTTTGCTAGTTGTGTTTTAATATTGTACTTAAATTATTTATGCACCGCAGTTGTGCTATAAATACTTTTTCCAGTTAGCCATGGATTTTGTTCCAGTGGCAGACATATGCAGACATTTGTACTCTCTTAACCATTTTCTCTAAGCGGTGGGCATTCTACAACAATTCAGCCTTCAAATAATTCCAGCAAATTTAAGATTTTGAATGGTTTTATATTTAGCTGGCATTCTACTGCATGTTCTGTACTCGAGAGCTGTTAATGTGGGATTTTGTGTATATAAGTGTTGCAGAAAGAACGTTAAGAGAATGGATTTTTTTCCAGACGCCTTTATAGCTTTGTTTCTTGTTGAAACTGAATTCAGCAGGCTGAAGAAAATGGTTCTTGTATACACTGGGCTGGTGTCCTCCAGAGTACTTGGTAAATAAAAACAGACTCTTGTACACTTTAAAACAAAAATTGTACCACTAGTCTTTATATGTTTTGGGGCCGTTCAGGGCACACAGGTCATTAAAAAAGGGTGTTAAAGTGATAAACCTTTTATACCAAATGTGTTTATTTTTTTGTGCAAGTGATCCTTTAAATTGAAACTGTATTAGGTGTTAAAATTAAAAGGGAAAAAATCAAACGCTAGTATTAATGCTTGGCATACTTTATCAGAAAAGTACAGTAAAACATTTCATGGAGGCTTTCATAATATGCTGTCTAACTGGAGGATTTTAAATAGTTTTTATTTTTTAAGAAAATATATAAATAAAAGGTTTCCATCTCTGACATACTAAGTACTATGCCTGTTGTCTTGTTTTCACTGCCAGAAGTTACTCATTTAATAATGCCAGGTTGATTTAAGAGGAAAATTTAAAAATAAAAGTAGTCCCATACAACTGAAATTTGATACATTGCAATTACTCTTAAGAGATGCACAAAACCTCTGTTTTGGAGGTTCCTCAACCCTCCAAAGCAGAACTGGAGGCATGTGAGGGCCTGCAGGGGTGAGAAGGGGGAAGAGAAAATTGTTACATGCGCATTCGATGTGTTTAGAAATAGAATAATCAGTTTAAGTGCTTTCTTGGAAAGACGGTCTAGAAATTTAAAATAAAAAAGAACTAACGAATAAACCTAACGGTATCCTTTTAGAGCTGTTTGAACAAATAACCATTGCACCTCTATATTTCAGGGCAGTTTCATAATATCCATACCTTATATTTTACAAAGAAATAGTGTGCAAAATAATACAAATAAAAGTAGTTTTTGTTTTGCACAACTACATTAGCCTAAACTTGACTATTCAGTTTCTCAAACTTGGAATTTATAAATTTGTGTAACCCAAAATGTGTAATTAATGGACAAAATTGTGCTGAATCTTGAATTCAAAGTGACTAGGATTACCTGCTGAAAGTTTAACGAAGTCGTGCTGGCTGCTCATCTGCCTTGATTTCTGCCACAAAAGGCGAATTGTAGGAGAGAAAAAGATTCAACCCAACATCCCACCATAGCTGTCAACTTACAGATTTGAAAATAAGGGACCAGCAGCCAATATAAGGGATTTTCGGTGCACAGGTATGTTCAACTTCTGAGCCCTTCTGAGACAAAGGCAGAAAGCCCAGCCAGCAGCCAAACAAAGCCTCACGTGGTGGTTCCCACAGCGCAGCAACCCAGCAAAGGGGATGCAGCAAGGAAAACCACCGTCACCTCTCCGCTGGGAAGCGCTGAGCAAAGGCGAGTCCCCAGGCAATGCGGCCGATTTGATCGGCACAAGGCATGTAAGCTCCATCCCCCAGTCGTTCTTAGACTCCTTATTGGGTGAGTATCGCAGCCAAGCAACACAGTTGGAGCCTCCCTCCTCCCTGGCCGGCAGGGAGGGAGGGAGAGGAGCTGCTTCCTTTGAAACCTGGGAAATTTAAGGGACATCATCAATAAGGGACGGCAGCGGGACACAGCTCTAGGATAAGGGACTTTCCCGCCAAATAAGGGACGGTTGACAGCTATGCATCCCACCCTAATTTGCTCACTTGCCCACCTCATTCACAGGCTTCTGACTAGCACCATTCTGCCTTCCCAAAAAACTGGGAAGAGTACTCTGTCAACTAAGCATTGCATATTAAACATAATGATGTCATGACACCATCACAAACCTAGTTCAGAATAAGGCAAATATTTCCCGGAATACCTGGAATACACTTTCTTCCTATTTGCATCTTGGAAGTGGAGAGAGTCACCCTTTTGGCTTAGTCCTCCGATTTAATGTTCTGTCTTCCTGCAAGTGATAGCATTAGCCGTTAAACATGGAATGCCTCCCTAGCTGTTAAGCTTCTTGGTCCATTGCCTCGCAGCAAGTTTTTATAGGGTATTCTGGAAAGCGATATGACCTGTGCACATCATTATGGCATAGCAAGTGGAACCCAAAATTGGATTCAGCCTGCCGTCATCTCCGCTAGCAATTGCTGTGTGTCCCTGAGGTAAGCTTTTACAAACAAGTTCCCTCTTACATGTGAAAAATAGGGTTGCACTTTGCTTTGAAGTTGGGAAATTAAAGGTCTCTACACTACCCAGAGTTAAAGGTTATGATGGGATTGTTACTGTGCTGCATATGCTAAAGACTTTGAACAATAGATGACTGGATTTCATGGGGCCACAGGACTGTAGTTTTGCTCTTCTGCAATTTTAGGTAAATAGTACAGTGGTACCTCGGGTTACATATGCTTCAGGTTACAGACTCCGCTAACCCAGAAATAGTACCTCGGGTTAAGAACTTTGCTTCAGGATGAGAACAGAAATCGTGCTCTGGCGGCGCAGCGGCAGCGGGAGGCCCCATTAGCTAAAGTGGTGCTTCAGGTTAAGAACAGTTTCAGGTTAAGAACAGACCTCCAGAACGAATTAAGTTCTTAACCCGAGGTTCCATTGTAATAGGATGATTGATTGGTAACCATAGCAGTAGCGTGATCAATAGAACTTCAAAAGTGCTTTTACTGGGATTTCTCCCATAACTATTTTTATGCAGCAAGATTTAAATACTCTTGCCCTATCCCTAAACCTCAGGATTGCTATTCATTTTTGTTTTAAGCATAATTTGGGAATTTTTGTAATGATGCAGCAGTAACTGTTTTGAAATGTTGCACGCCTGAACATATTTCAATACAGTTCTTCTTAAATTGTCTTGCTACAGCTGGAAAATTTGTACAACTTTGTGTTTTTTAAAAACCACATGGTCCCCAGGAACGTTAAAATTAGCACTCATACAGACAGGCTTTATTTGTAGTGCTGTGGAGTCGCTTTCAAAAGGCTAACACAAACTTGAAGAAGTTCCTGCAGTAGCCACCAGAGGTTACCCATGGCACTCTTGGCTGTTCCGAAATCCGATATTCTGGCAATAAGGGATTTACAGGCTACACATGTTTACGTGGAAGTTAGTCCTACTGAGTTTGATGAAGTGTGTTCCCAGTAACTGTAGAATCACAGCCTTAAAGCCCGGAGCTCGTTTGTGCATTTGCAGCGTTTGTAACATACACCCTAACAGTATTGGATTGAAGATTTATACAAACTCGCAACATATGAACAACTTGCATATAAATGCAGACTTGCCATGGACAAATTCAATGATATTTGGAATCCATTCTTACAAATACTGTAATAGGTTAAGATCTGGTGAAGTACAAAAACAACCTTGTAAAGTATACCGTTTTGGGTCCGTTCCCCCTTTGTTTTCCCTTCTGCACAGGTTCTGTTTCTCTCTTTTGTTTGCATCTCACCATGTTTGGTGCACATATAGTTATGTACTTTTTGAACTTTGAATAAAGATGTTACAAAAAACCCAAACCATACCCCCAATGGTGTTGACGCGAACAAAAGCATTGTTAGCAGTGATCATCCAATATCTCCGATGGTGATGTGTGCATGTGTGGAGCAGAGATCTGCTCACAGATTTCCCCTTCCTCTCCTCTCCCCTGTAGATCCCTTGGGTCCCCAACATGAGAGCAGATTTTGGGGAGCGCAGAGGGCTGCAAGGAGGAGAAGGGAGGTCCAAGCAAAACTCCACTCTACTGATCTTGGATTCAGCCCCATAATCTATGAATCGATGAACAAAATCATCCATAAACTATTCACAAGAGGGGCAGATGGGGCTCATCAAACTGGGAAGGCAACCTATCTAGGAGCTGTGAAACCAGCCAATTCTTCTCTTGATTCGACTTGGATGATGGACTCAAGGGCATCCTGATCAAATTTGCAGATGGCACCAAACTGGGAGGGGTGGCTAACACCGCAGAGGACAGGATCACACTTCAAAACGACCTTGACAGATTAGAGAACTGGGCCAAAACAAACAAGATGAATTTTAACAGGGAGAAATGTAAAGTATTGCACTTGGGCAAAAAAAATGAGAGGCACAAATACAAGATGGGTGACACCTGGCTTGAGAGCAGTACATGTGAAAAGGATCTAGGAGTCTTGGTTGAACACAAACTTGACATGAGCCAACAGTGTGACGCGGCAGCTAAAAAGCCAATGCAATTCTGGGCTGCATCAATAGGAGTATAGCATCTAGATCAAGGGAAGTAATAGTGCTACTGTATTCTGCTCTGGTCAGACCTCACCTGGAGTACTGTGTCCAGTTCTGGGCACCACAGTTCAAGAAGGACACTGACAAACTGGAACGTGTCCAGAGGAGGGCAACCAAAATGGTCAAAGGCCTGGAAACGATGCCTTTTGAGGAACGGATAAGGGAGCTGGGCATGTTTAGCCTGGAGAAGAGGAGGTTAAGGGGTGATATGATAGCCATGTTCAAATATATAAAAGGATGTCACATAGAGGAGGAAGAAAGGTTGTTTTCTGCTGCTCCAGAGAAGCGGACACGGAGCAATGGATCCAAACTACAAGAAAGAAGATTCCACCTAAACATTAGGAAGAACTTCCTGACAGTAAGAGCTGTTCGACAGTGGAATTTGCTGCCAAGGAGTGTGGTGGAGTCTCCTTCTTTGGAGGTCTTTAAGCAGAGGCTTGACAACCATATGTCAGGAGTGCTCTGATGGTGTTTCCTGCTTGGCAGGGGGTTGGACTCGATGGCCCTTGTGGTCTCTTCCAACTCTATGATTCTATGATTCCTGCAACCCCTGTTAACTTTTTCGGCTCAGTTTTCCCCTGCCTCATATGCTGGGGGCAGCAAATCACAAGAGCAGTTGCTGGCAAAGATCACGATGCAAGAAAAGCCATGAAGCCATCCTTATTTCAAACATTGCGATATATCTGTGTATTGTGATGTTTAGTTGGTGATATATCACAATGTTGGAAACCACATATTGCCCAGCCCTAGCCTTGACTTGGAGCCAATTGAAACATTCAGTAAACAACATACAGTACAGTCTTTCCAGGATAGTACTTCTTCTACAGTCTGGGTGATGGAATAGTTTGAGTGCTCCTCCATGTAGGAAAGACGCTTCCACAAAAAAGATACCACATTCTGAGCTAAAGAACCTTTATCCCTCATATTCTAGCTCTCCAAAAGGAAAGGAAATGTTTAGATGCACTGCTTGCTCCATCATGGATGAGCACTATGTGTATGAACCTAGCATCCTCCTGGGATGGCATGCGCTCGCTCCCCTTTCATCCTCCCACAGTTAAGAGGAGGAGTTCAGAAGTGTTTGCTTCATCTTTCAGTTAAACACAGTATGTCATTTAATCCAAACTGGGAATTGTGGTTTAACAGTAACTATGGCTAGTTTTTAAAAAGTCAGCTTTTTTAAAACCCTCCTGGCCACATGGGAAGAGGAGTTGGGAGTGTCTGTGATCTCAGGAAGAGGCTAGGCTCCTTCACAAAGTGCCAAATCCAGTTTCAGTTTATTTGGCCTGTAGCCCATAAACATCAAATGTAGTGCAGGGTTCTGAAGACGACCACAGCAGGGAAAACGCACAAAAATTGTGCCTTTTAAAATAAGAACGTAGCAAAAGCCCTGGACGTTAAGAGTATAGCAAAATAAAAGAGCAGCAATAGTTTTAAAATACAGACACCGTAGGGAAAGTTTATGGGAGATAACCCTATAAAAGTTACAGTTTATTCAAGTAGGTTTGGAATGTTTCTAGAAGAAAT